GGCATTGGATTCGTGGGCAGGCAGCAGATGGCAAGGAAACTGAGGTTTCCATTTGTCTATTGTGCCAGTACTGCACTCTGACTTTATAATGCTTTCAATATTTGGTAAACCAAACTTTCTCTACCTTGTTTTGCATCTCTAGGAATGTCTAGGCTACTCATGGCTCTTGAATTTTCCATGTCTATTTTAAAATAGGCTTGTGAAGCTCAATAAAATGTTTCAATTCAATTTTGTTTGGAACTTTATTAACTTGTAGATCAGCTGGGGAGATTCAACGTCTTTATGATATTGAACCTTACTATCCACGAACATGTCATAAGCGTTATTTATTTGTATCTTTATGTTTTTCCGGCACATCTTTTATTAAATGTAGTTAATTGTAGAGGAGTCATTTTATTCACAGTTACTGATGAAGAAGCTGATATGGACAGCAGTTAATGGGCTTCTCTTAAATTTTTTAAGATAGAAAGTGAATAGGACTCTAACCCAATTCCTAATCTGTAGCTTTTTTCCTTCACTCTAGTGTGCCTCATTTAATTAAAAACATGGAATTTGGATATAGCATGAATCATATCTGCCAAGCCATGATAGCTAGACATAGTTATAATGAGAAATTTGTCTGTTCCATGGGTATACCTGCCCAATCTCCTGCTCCCATGCAGTAGTAAATGTTCTAGTTTGCACAAGTAAATCCTCCCGGACATCAATAATATGTTCATTTATGAAAGATAACATACAGGATTGGAAACCCCGTCTCCTCCATGTCTTGCCGTCCACGCTTGTTTATGGGAAAGTCTTTAGATAATTTATGATACAGTTCTTTTTCTTTTCCTTTCTGTCAGCGTTTGACTGGGAGAAAATAGACATATTTGTCAGCAAGAAGAGTGGTTCTCGCACTAAGGATGGCTTGAGTTTTTCAGCCAGTGTTTACAAAGTGAGCTTCTGTTCACACTAATCATGGCTAATGTCCCCTTGTTGATGAGCAATAATCCTGGCATGCGGACCCAGCTGGAGATCCCATTTACCTGCCAATTCCAGAGCTGCTTGGCTGTAATGACAGATGGGAAATCAACTGCGTTCTATTTATGAATAAGATATAGAGAGCATATGAGCTTTTGAGATTACCAGCTGCCCTCATTCCAGGATGAGGTCACTAACGGTAACTAAAAAATAGATATAATGGAGATATAAAACTATATTAAAGAACAAAAAGTGGCGGTAGCCATTTCCACCTTTGGGAGGGAGTAATGGCACACTCTGTATCAGTGGGAAACAGAGCTCTAAGTGGCTTTGTACGGTTTCAAGGACTGGAAGTCAGGGGAGCCCAAGAGTGCAAGGACTGGCATATGCAGTAGCAGGAGACATGGGAACTTTGGAGAGAACCAGGAACTTAGCCTCTCTGGGGGGAGGCATGCTGAGGAAGGTGGTGAGCAAGGGCGGTGCTGCTGTGGAGGGAACAGGAGAGCTGTAGGAGGTGAGACAGTGAGAGTGAGTGCTCAGAGGGACAAGCAGGGAGGAGCATGTCAGACCCACGGAATTGGCAGAAATCACACGACAGGGGTTTATACCAATCTGATTCGTCTGAAAGTACAGGAAGACCTCGGCTACCTCCACAAAATTGGTCTCCACATTGCCAGTCATGACTCAGCCTTTAGATTTTAAATATATCGAAACAAAACCTTCAGGAGATGAGGTAGGAATAGCTCTCTGAAGGCAGAGCTCTAGAGGGAGTGTCCTGGAAGGGAAGCCGCACACAAGACCCCGAGTTTGTGTTTTTAATTTTTAAAAAGTCTTGTCTTTATGTGTGCACTCAATATGTGTGTATTTGAATACCAGTTGTGTCACATGCTACCTGTGAAAACAAGCAAACTGCTTAAGCTTTGAGCCTGTCTTCTGTCTGTGAGAGACAGTAACACCACCTTGAAGAGTTGTGGATTAACTCATTTCCTGTTTAGAAAAAAAAAAAAAAAGCACAGCTCACTGCCAGTGCAGTATTCTCAAACAGGAAATGGGTTAAATGGGAAATGGGCAATGGGCCATGGGTGAAATGGAGCAAACAGGAAACGAGTTAAAGGGAAGAACACAAGGAAAAGACCTAGCAGTGGCTGATAGGAGCTGCTCCATCTGTCCCTCTGTCTTCTCTGTTGGTGTTGAGAGATGAATGGACGATGGCTTTGAGTGGGCCTTAGAGGGTCTAAGCATGACGTTTATACAGAGAAGTGCATGGCAAATATGTTTGCGGGTGCTGAGTTGATGGTTTTAAAAAATGAATATACATATATACATCTAGGATAATATTGGCTGTTTACTCAGGCTAAAGGGCCACAGGGCTATTGTTTCAATTATATGATTTAGGTAATTGTAGAAAATTTTTACATATGGCTAAGTGAAAAATAGAAGAAAATAAAAATCAACTAAAATTCGACCACTCAGAGATAATTGCAATTTCCATTTCCCTCTCTCTCTAGCTATCATCTATCTATACATGCACATATATATTCTGCTAAGTAAAAATATGTGCACATATCTATAAAAGGGATACCATACTGCTTTCTTTTTCTTAATGTACTATATTGGAGAAATATTTCTATGGCAATAAGTGCACTCTATATAATAATTTTTGAGCTGTAGTGTTTAATTGTATGGCTATATAATTATTATACTCTGTTCCCTCATTGTAGGGTATTCAGATCTTTTCAGTTATTCATGATTATAAACAATATTTCTTATATTTGTTTCCTTTCTCTTTCTTTCTCCCCTCTAGCCTCTCTTCCTCTCCCCATCTTTCCTTTCCTTTCTTTTCCTTCCTTCCTTCCTTCCTTCCTTCCTTCCTTCCTTCCTTCCTTCCTTCTTTTCTTTTCTTTCCTTTCCTCACTCTTTCTTTCTCCCTCATTCTATCTTTTGTTCTTCCTTTCATAAGGAGTGTATTTCCTTGTAGCATATGATACAACAATCTAATATATGATTATTTCCATATGGGCAGTTGTCTCAACATTAGTAATTAAACAGTTTCTATTTCTCTATCAGTTTAAAATACTTCATCACATTCTAAATTCCTGAGGTTTCCTTTAGCATTTCTGTTCTGTTGGAATTTCCTGTCCATATAATTCTCTTTCAATGATTATAGTATTATAATTATAATACTTACAGAATTTATTTGATATTTGATAGAGGAAGGATGCCTTCATCCAATTTTTTTCAGACAAATATTCTAACTTTTAACCAAAGCCAATTGCACTGAATAGAATGAATTCACTTGTGTTTATTCTTTCTGATTGCTTTTGCTCTTCCAGAAAAACCAGGGTGTGGAGACTGCACCAGTGGAAGGGAAGCACTAGGATCTGCATGGGGGCTGGAATTAGCCCCAAGCTGAATGACTGGGTCTTCATGGGTTGAAAATTTCCAAGCAGCCTAAGCATATCTCTTGGTTACACTGGTCAGTCAGAGTGAAGGTCAGCCACCTATGACTCTGTGTCTCACTGGACCAGATTGTCAAACCTGGTTGAACATTAAAAATACCTGAAGAGCTTTTCCGAAATAATGATGTCCATGCCCCACTCCAGATGGAGTGAATCAGAATCTATCAGGGAATAGTGTCTGGGTTTTAGTGCATTTTAAAAGCTCCCCAGGTAATTCTACTGTGTAGCCAGGGCCAAGACCCAAGGCCCTAGACTGTAAGTTGCCTATAGTCAGGAACCATGTTATTCATTCATTTGTCATTCCCAGTCCCTTGTACCACTCCTGACATGCAGAAGAACACAGAGGAATTGAACTGAATTCAGGTGGAGAACCCAGACTTACATATCTCTACTCATTCTTCTAGGGAAAAAGACACAGGTTATCAGTGCCCGATAATACGTGTGCATCCTCTTGGCGGCCTCACTGTCTTATTGGAAAAAGTAGCTTTGAGAGGGAGAAAATAAGCTCTGTCTTGGTCCAACAAAAGTTTAACTCACAGTCTGAAAAGAGGAGGGCTTAGGGAGAATCCAGTCTATCCCCTTATTTTAACGTCTTGGAGCCCGGGGATTATGTAAGTTTGCCAGGTGGCACAGCTCTTTGTGGCACATCTGGAACAGAAAGCAGCTCTTCTTATTCCAGATATTTGTGGTACAGCTTGTTGTCCTTGTGTGAGTGCATATAGTTGTGAGTATGCATTGTTAGTGTGTGTGAGACTGAGTGTGTGAAGGTGTGTGTATTTGTGTATATGAGCCTACGTTGTATGTATGTGTGTGCACAAGGAATGGGAGGGGTGTGTAACCTGAGCGGATCCAGTCTCCTTCTACAGAGCTATGACATTACAACAAACAGAAAACTAGAAGCCCTTTCTTCTTTTGGTCCCTTGGTTTGCTGTGTTTTCTCCAGACTGACCTTGGTCAGGTCCAGTAATGTTTTCCTGGGAAGCAGGACAGGCTTCCAGGGCTCAGAGTCCTGGGCTCTGCATTCAGGTTTACTGAGAAGGAATTTGGGGGAAGGTTGTAGTAGGTGGTCTTAGGCTTGATCTGGTTTGAATTGGTGTGTCAGGGCAGCTGGGAAAGAATGAACCACCGTGCCTTTGCTGGCTTAGGGTCCAGGATTGTTCTATGGACAGATGGCAGCTTTATGTATCTGCAAATTCAAGCCAATCAGAAAAGCCTATCCTCATCTTTGCTGAAGGTGTGATTTGGACAGTCTCTCTTTTCATATCTGTGTCCTCCAAGGTGCTTCTTTGCCAGAACTGAGCCTGGGGTAACCCTTGGATCCTAGCTCAAAGGCTAACTCTCTGCTGGCATAGCTTGGCCAGGTCCAAAGTGCCCCCTTCCTTCTCCTAAATTTCAGGGAGGTCACATGGAGGACGACAGAGCCTGCCTGTGATAGCCTTTGGTGGGTCTGGTCTGTCGGCTGGGTCGTGATATGATCATGTATGCTCGTGTATTAAGGAATCCCCAGCTCACATTTGCTAGAGGAAAACCTCTGGAGAAGCAAATTAGCTAAGAATTGGGCCATGCAGAGTAGAGACTTACCTGAGCAGTTGGAAATCACTGTTTCGTAGGTTTTGCTTTTAATCCAAATAGTTCGGATCACAATGCCATACATGACGCTGTAGAAAGAACCAAAGGTAGTATTAAAGTGGCTGGTGGATCTCTACTGTGAGGACACAGAGAAGACCACTCCACCTCCCCGAGTGCAAGGTGCAAAGGGAGGAATCTTTTCACCATGCCTGTCCCCCTATACTTGCTGTTTATAGAATCACAACTGAAAGTGACCATGAGGATCCATTGGATGGAGTCACTTCTGTCTTAAGTGAGGAGGCTAAGACCTGGTAAAGTTATGCAGTCTCCTCAAGGTAACCCAAATGGTTTGAAGGAGAGCTGTGATTAGAATCCAAAAACAGGCCTTAGAGTCAGAAAAGACTTGGGTCTCCTCTACTACTTGTCTGTTGTACAATCCTGACTTTAGTGACATCTTTTAAGTGACGTCTATGATCCCTGACTCCGGCATTCATGGCTTTGTGTGATCCTCGCCCCTTTAGTATGGGAAGAGCAGGTGACTTGCCTCTAATCAATGCAGAGTGGCAAAGGGGATGGGACTGATTACATAGAGTGTAGCGCCTGTCTTGTTGGTGTCTCTCCCCATTGCTGGCTTTGAAGAAACAAGGTGCCATGAACCCTACAGCTGCAAGAAAATGAATTCCGCTAAGGATCTGAGGGAGCTTGGAAAAGAGCCTTTTCCATTCTAGCCTCTGATGACCCCCTGCCCTGGATAAACAACTTGATAACTGCCTTGCCTGAGCAGGGGACCCGGTTAAGCCATGGCCAGATTCTTGACCCACAGAAACTGTGAGATGATAAATGTATCTTGCTTTAAGTCATTAGGTTTGTGGTAATTTGTAAAGGAGTAATAGATAACTACTACACTGAGCCTCAGCTGGGGTTCTACAAAATGGTGTTAACAATACAGACCTCTTGAACTTTTTGAGTATCAAATGTGACAATATTTAAAGTGCCAAGTACAGTGCTGGAAAATTAGTGGGGATTAATTTCCTTTCTCCTCTTTCTTGTCTATTTATTTTACACTATATCACACCAATTCTTACATTATTTAATCTGTGCCTAACAGGAAAACAAAGTGTTGATGATTCAAAAGTGTCAAGAAGTTTTGTATCCTGGGTACTCTTTGATAAATATAAAAACTACTCTTCTTTAATATTACTTGATATTTTGACTACATTAAGCACCTTGGCAAAAAACTTTGGGACACAGCAATGCTTTATTTTAAAACTGTGTGTCTTCCCTCTTGAGAATCATTAGTTAAAAAAAAATCAAAGCTTCAGTTTGCAGTAGCTGACAAAGCACTAATTGCTTTTAATGATCTTTAGAATATAACTTAATTAATGGCAATGTTAAAATCTCTGCTACTTATTGCCTTTTCCCATTCTTGCTCAGTGAACCCTTCGGAGTGCTCCAGGAAAGCTCAGGGACTTTTTGGAGCATCTCCATTCTTTCTCACATAATTACCAAGGGACTTTTTTTTTTTTTTTTTTTGTAATTTGTATGCCTGCAGTAAAGAAAAAAATGAGAAAAATGTTATTAGTGAGTTCAACCCTAAGTTGAATATTTGCTAGAACAGGGAAACTTCTCCCCCAGAAAGAGAAATACTGTGCAAGGTAAGGTTACACCCACCATGGAAAGTTAATGGTTATGTCAATTGCAACCCCAGTATATAATTGACCAATAAGTCAAATATTTATGACTGTCGACCATGTACACAGAAGAAAGGTTAAGAAATGTCTTATGCTTTAGGGATTTGGGCCTAAGTCACCCCCTCTTTTTACTTAGGGCCAATCAGATGAGTGAGAACCAGTACCAACTTTTCAGTTAGCATGGCAAACACCTAATAACTAGGGTATTATTGCCAAACCAGGCTACTTCTTGGAGCATAGCAATCAAGCATCAAAGAGACATCTGCATTGCTGTTTGTCACCACCAGTGTTTTGCTCTGTCACCCAGGCTGGAGTGCAGTGTCAGGATCGTAGCTCACTGCAGCCTTGACCTCCCACCTCAGCCACCTGAATAGCTGGAACTACCAGTGTGTGCCACCCTGCTCAGATAATTTTTGTACATTTTCTAGAGACAGGGTTTCACCATGTTGCCAGGCTAGTCTTGAACTCCTGGGTCCAAGAGATCCACCTGCCTAGGCCTCCCAGAGTGCTGAAATTACAGGTGTGAGTCACCACACTTGGCTTTGTCTCTTTTCCTTTAGCTGATCAATCAGATTGCGGATAAGTTTTGTGGATTGTCTCAGCAAAATGACTCCATAATCTGTACCTTCCTCTCCATCCAGGTTTTCAGCATTAGTGGAGACCCTTACAATCTCTCTTTATTCATTTTGATGACTGCTTTTATTGTGGGCCCTGTGATCCTCTTTGACCTTGGACCTCATGCCCATGGACAGTGCTGGCCAGGTCCCTGGGGCCCTTTTACCCACCACGGCCGTGTATTCTATCTGCAGGGCTGCACCAACCTGGCATGAGGCTTTCCCACAGTGTGATCCCATTTCCTAAGCAAAATAAATGAATTTTTCTCACATATGACAAGTCAATGATCCATGACTAATGTGCTTTTTTCTACTTATTTTTTTTGTGATTGTCGGTCATGAATCTCTTCTGCTTCCACCTTTATCTTACAGAGATGAAAATGATAAGAGAATGAGAAATCAATTAGGTAGGAAGAAAATAAGCACAGCTAAAGTAAAGCAATTACACTGGGGCTAATAACCTCCCCAGCAACAATTAGACAGTTATGTCAAGCGAATTTCAAAACAACTCCTGTTGTTTTGACCCAGAAAAACAACATATTGCCTTTGCTGTCAGTCACTATGGTTTCAACTCCTGGGAGCCTGATTTAGTGGATGATAGAAGAGCTACATCTTTATTCATACACAGCTCTCATGAGAGTTTGCCACCAAAAATACAACTACCTCTCTCTCTCTTTTTCCCTCTCTCCCTTTCTTTCCCCCTCCTCTTTCTTTTCTCCCTTTTTTCTTTCCTCTCACATATATTTATGGAGGAGCTATCATATGCCAAAAACTGATCTAGGCATTAAATAGCCAGAAATTTCTATATTAGCAGCACGTGTACATGTGTGTGTGTGTGTGTGTGTGTGTGTATGTGCGTGAGAGACAGAGAGAGAAAGAATGAGAGAGGGAGAGAAAGAGTAGAGAGAGTGACATGACACATCTGTTGTTTGGTGCAATTTATTGCATTATTCATTCAATCTAATATTCACCAACTGTTTAGTGCGTGCTGGATGTGCAGTTCAGAAATGAAGAGGCCACAGTCCCTGCACTCATGAGATACAGTCACACTACCATGAAGTCTAGATGATGACATGGACAAAGTGAGGTTGGAGGTTAAGGAGTGAGGACCTGAGGTGCCTCTTGGTCCGGGGCTGGCAAGGGAAGCTCTACCGTGGAGTTGGTATTGGAAATGATACACAAAGGATGTGAACTAGTTGGCTGAAACAAGGCAAGGTGAGCTTGGCAGAGTGTTCAGGCATGGGAGTGATGCACATGGGCCAGAGGGGTGTTTGTTCCATAGCTGGAGTTGGGAGTGCAGGTGAGGTATCAGCAGCTCACTGTGAAGCAGGCAGGGAATCTTTGAAAAAGACAAGTGGATCTTGTCCTAGCAGATACTGAATGCATACAAAGCTGGGCAATAAGTAAAACAATGAGGTATTTGTGGCAGAAAAGCTGCTAAGTTAGTTATTTGTGCTTTTTCTTTTTTTCTATTATGTCAATCACTACTATTATGTCAATCACTACTATTAATAATCGAAAACAAAATAAAACCATACTCAATATAGAGGCAAATGACAAATTAGGAGAAATATTCGCAACATATGCAAAAAGAAAAAGGTTATTGTATATATAATATTTCTAAAGATAGAGAATAGAGAAAATAAAAACATTTAAACAAGAAAAGTAGCATTACTTTCAATGACAAAATCCGCAGTTACTTTTGCATCAACCTAAGAAGTACTTTTAAAAAAAATGACAATCAGCATATAAAATATACTTAATCTTATTTGTAATGAAAGAAATGCAAAATAAAACAACTAAAATATTTTTTTTCTATCAATTTGGTAAATGTAGCATATGTAGCATGCATGAAGGACAATGAGGCATGGTGAACAACGTGAGTGAACACTTTCCTTGAGCTATTTTGTCTATTTAAGCTTGAAATGAAGAATTTAACCTTACTCACAGCATTGAGCCCGGGGGCCAGAATATAGGCAATAAAGAAAGAATAAGAGTTGGACCTTATCTCTGAGATGAAATTATAGCACCTATGCCAGGTACTCGTTGGATACAAGTTCCTCACAAAATTCCCCCCAGGGCCTGGTCTTGTTTGAGAAGACAGTTGTTGCTGAAGGAGGTGGAGGATGTTAGTCCCCCAGAGAGAAGTTCTTTCTTCACCAGGGGGAACTACAAAAGAGGGAAGGTGATGAAAGAGAAGCCTCTTGTCAGGTAGGAAATGCTTCAGAGAAGCTCAAGGATGGCTGGAGGTCATGGCTAAGTTTTCATGATTGTCACGGCTAGAAGCAAGGAGCTAGGATCAGGCCTTACAGAGGCCTTAGTTTGGTGAGAGCTGAGGGAAACCAGTTTTTGAAATCATTTCCTTCAATCAGCAAACACATTGTATTTTACCCTTTCAAGGACATGAAAAAAAACACACTGGCTATCCTGTAGGCAAGTTCGAGGAGAAGTCCTGGTGGAAAAAGCAGCCCAAAGAATGGGGAAATCATAGATGCAGGACAACCTGAGCTGCATGGTCCACGTGCTGCAGCATCAGCTGTGCTGAGCAGGGACTTTGACTGGAGCTCATTTCTTGAACTGATGGGAAATCAATCAGCAGTGAAGCCAGGACATGCACTGTCACTGAAATCGATGCCTCAGTTGCTCAGGGTGACACAAGCCACTTCCTTCCAAATGCTCTCTGACCGCTCCGGCTCACTTGCCTATTACTTACCTTGGGTGGTTGTCTAAATAACCTTCTCTCCTTCAAACTTCCTCTCAAGCTCAGCTTGATGGGATGGAGGGCAATAAGTCAAAATAAAGTGTAGGTGTTAAGTTGTCCATTCAGCAGAGATGACTGGACAACACCCCATCTCGGAAAGGCTGCTGGGTTGGCTATTGAGGTCACTCTGTGCTTGCCCATCTCAATCTCTGATGCGGGGGTAGGGGCAAGGCAATTACTTCTTTTAGTCTTAATTCTACTCTTACGAAAAATTCAGGGGTTTGACCATATGATGGATAACATTTCTCCCAGCTATAGTATTTTATGAGACTAAAGATGAATAATGAGCAAGAAAAGGTGACTCCCACCATATCAGAAAACACTTGAAAAGCATGCCACCAGCTTAGTAATTAAAGAAATGCATATTAAAACAATGAAATACTTTTTAAACTCTTAGGTTGGCAAAGATTTAGTAAGGAAATAGTGCTACCTTCCATTGGATCAGGGAAGCAAAAAACAAGAGCCCTTGTATGGTGTTGCCCAGAATATACCTTTTCTACAAGTGATCTTAGCTAACAGGCCAAGAAATAATACAGCTTTTCTCAAGGGCAGCTTGTGACTATGCATCAAAAGTTTTAAAATGTGCATCATCTTTGATCTACACCTTTGATCTAGTAATTCCATGAGAATGAGTTATGAGGAAATAACCAGAGACTCATGTACAGTTTTCAGTACAAAGATTTTTATCACAGCTGTCTTTACACTATCAAAAACAAAGGCTGATCTTCCTTTGCTTATGATATGTTATATGACACACTATGGCTGGCTTAGAGGTACTCAAAAGGCGCAGGATCATCGTGGCCCAAGAATACACACAATGTGCCAGGTCTCTCCCTGTAGTCTCCCACCCCATCCACACATGCAGAGCCCATTTCAGAGGGTGATCCTGCCACATGGCCAAGTGAGACCCTACCTTGACCAGGTTGTTGTGCTAATCTCTGTTAAAAGACCATCTACAGCTCACCATTGACTGCAGGACAAAGGACACTCTATGACTTTTTTGCCAAGATCATTCACAACTGAGCCTCCCCCAGCCACTGGAAGGAGCTCACTGCCAACTTCTGTCCCATTGGCACTGTCTACATGTCCACTCTGCCCCTACACTCACTCCGATTTCTGGTCATCAGAGTCTGCTTCCTCCCCACTTCTCCCTTATCCTATCTGAATCATTTCCTCCTTCAATGGTGGCTTCCAAAATATATTCCCTGGCATTATGTGACTCCACTGCATACACAATTTAGCATATTAGTGTATACTGAGTTTTGTGTTCAGTTTGTTTCAAGTATATCTATCTTTTCATTTACAAAATCCCTGTAAGTTGTAATTTGCCTTGTATTTGGAAAGCTGCAAGATATAAAAGAAATAATATGGTATGAAATCAGAAAAACCTGGATATCAATCCTGTTTGATGTTGAGTAAGTTACTTAACCACTCTGAGCTTGAGTTTCATTATTCATTAAATTGGGACAGTGGTAATTATTTCACAGGGTTGTACTGTGGCTAATGTGATAATTGTTAGCTGTTTGGCGCAATGCCTGCCCTGTATACCCAGTAATTGTTAATTCCCTTCTCCTTACTCTACTTTGAAGAAATTGGGCTTACCCTATAGTAGCTACACATAAAATCTTGTGGCCTGGCCAGCTCCCCCTAGGGCACTAGAAAAAATGGGCCTGTAGGGGACGAGAGCAGCAGCTGGCAAAGCAGGAAGGCCCCCCGCCCAACCACCCGCTGTGTGGTCCTGGCCTGACAGCTTCTTACCTGATGATTGTCAGAGGGATGAAGTACACCAGGAAGGCCACAATGGTCATGTACGGGGTCCAGTAGGAGTCGTCAGGCCACAGGGCCCAGCACTGCACTTCACCATTAGAGAGTGTCCTCTTCCCAAATATGATCAGGGTGGGAATGGAGAACAGGAAAGACAGGCTCCAGGCAATCACAATGAGGACCTTGGCTTGCTTTTCTGCCCAAAGAGAAGAGAGGGATGTCTGGGTATGTGGCAACCATTTTGAGGAGCACAATGGAGTTTGCTATAGAAAAGGATCACTGTGGGGCAGCCACCCTGGACTTCACAGAACCTCCCAGAGCCTCAGTTTCCTCATATGTAAACAGGGAGACAGTACCTCCATACAGAGTCGATGTGAAGATTATAAAGGGAAGTTTGAACAGAAGCTAGCACATTGCCTGGCCTAAGGTTGGTGCTTCTTCTTTCCTGATTTCCCCATCTGACTTGAGATGTTGACGCATCCATTCTTGCAGTATTAGGGAGCTCAGTCTGTACCATGTACATTTAGTAAATTGTGGTGCAAATGCTGAGTTGTGTCTACCCATATGCAGTCACTCTTTTATTACGAGGCAGGGCTACAGGCTTTGGTCCGCATGGCATCCTTTCACTGTACCCAGCACTGCAAAGCACTGGGACAGTTTTTGAGAATTATTTGCCAAATGGGAAGGAACCTTTTTTTTTTTTTTTTTTTTTTTTTTGGTAGGAACATGGGTGGACTTATAAGGCTGAGAAAGAACACTGAACTTTGTTCTGGAGAGTAGGCGCATTCAAAACCAGCCCAGAAACCTGGTAGCTATGTCTGCACACTGGATTTCGGTTGCAACATTCTGACCTTGGCTAAACCACGCAGTCTCAGCCTCATCTTTTCTTTAAATTGGTATAAAAAATACCTGTTCTGGCCATCTCAGCATGTTATGATGGGGCTGGAGAGAGACAATTAATATATAATCAAGCACCTTTAAAACACACCCGTTGTTATGATGTGATGCTTTCTGTCAAGCTGTTGTTGAAGCTGTCGTCTTAATCCCTCACCCAGCTGGGCTTTCTGTGCTCACTGGCTCTGGGACCTTCTTCCAGAAACAGGAGGCCACCTTGCTCCCCTACTTTCAACTTGGAAAGCAGGCATGTGTCTTTGGGTGGGATTGGAATGTAGAGTCAGGTGGTGTCTTCGAACAGTGTGTTGGCTCCGGTCGAGGAGCTATAAGAAGTGAGAAAAATCTAGAGGAAACTAGGGACTCTATTAAAATCCAAACCTGAAATATTTAGGAGAATAATATCTAGGGTTCTGTTCTTGCTGAATTATACGCACTGAAAAGAGATACTAGATTCATGTAGAAAAGAGTTGTCATGGCCCACTGAGCAAGCAGGAGTCTTGGGGTAGAATTATAACAGCAATCTGATTAAGGTCTTTCTTGTTCCTTACATACAACTGGTAATCCACTGGGGATAGGGGGAGAGGTTTTCCTGCCTGTGTTTGGAAACTCAAGCCCCTTGATGTTAGTGATGACTCATAGGTGACAGACACATTAAGTGGTAAACATTGGTCAATTTAGTTAATTACATAAAAATTAGTAATTAAAATCCTAGACAACAATAAAAAACCCAAATTCTCAAGAGGATTTCAAGTATTTTCTTCCTAGGTGGGCTTGCTTCAAGTAGGAAGTCCAGCAGAGGTACCAGCCCTTCTGCTTTCTATCCTCATCTGCTAGTCCTCGTCCTCCCCCAGGTCGCTATCCACATTGGGGTCTCTCCAGAGCTGGGGTACAGGGAACCAGGGAGGAGGAAGAGGACAGAGTTCTCGCTTGACTGCTGCTGTCATCAGAGGGCTTTGTGCTCTCTGTGCCTGGCTGCATCCAAAGCTGATTCTTGGTCCCCTGAGGAACTTTTCTGGGTCCTTTGGAAATTCTCCTGTGGGGTCTCGCTGGTGGCCACTTGCTTGACTTGGGCAGTGACGTTCCACCCTCCCTGGTGACCTCCAGGGAGGCCTCTCTCTCTGGCAGAAATGTCTGGGGCAGGATCTTTTTTAACAGCTTCAGGCAAACTTCGCAATGCAGGTTCTACATCAGCCCCCTGGGCTAGGACCACAGCGCCAACCAGCCTCTCTTCAACGGTCTCAGGTGTGATGTAGTCATCGGTCCCCAATGCTCTCAAATACAGGGAACATGTCAAGCTCTGTGAGTCATCATGTGAAGCCCTCTCACTAGACTTAGTTTATGTAGACATCGAGTCACCTGTGATTAGGACAGTATGAAAGGTGAAAGAGAGACTGAGAACAGTGTCGACATCTTCACTGGATGAGGGCCTTGGCCATATGGGCACAGGCATGGGGAAGGCATTGTAGAAGGTAGTCTAGACTGATAGCATGAGCATCAGAGAAACAGAGCAGGCATGTGTGTGCAATACTGAAGGAGAAATGGCCTGGAGGTGGTCTAGAAAGGTAGGAAAATGTCTTCACCGCCACCAGGCCATGAGGTATCTAGAAAGGAAGGTTGAGGAGCATCCTTTTGAGATGTCTTAGGGGAATCAGCCACCTCAGGAGGCAGGAAGTGGGGGCAGCCTCCCATTAGGAGGTTGATGGTATAGGGGAGCTGGTCCCCTAAGGAATAGAGAAACACCGGGGGTGGAGAGAAGCAGTGGGAGTTCAGATTAGGAAAGAAGCAGGGTGGGATGAAGTGGGCAGGTGGTAGGACTGGAGGGGGTTCTTCTTGATGGTGGGGGTGTGAAGCCTGATGGGTTTCTATGGTCCTGGGTGACATTAGTAGCTGCCCCCTGTGCTCTTGTTCTTTCAATGGTTAGAATTCTAATGTTATCTTCTTCTGTAGGTCCCAGGACACTTTTAAGGGCAACATGTGACTCCTGGGCCCCACCCAGTTTCCACTTGATGGGTAAACAGTGCATTCACTTTTGAGAGGGATGCACAGGGAAACAGATTAAGACAGTATAGCATCATAATTTAGAATAGACTTTACCAAGGTCTCCAAAGATGTTTCCCCAAAGTCCCAGCAGGGTACAGGCTTGGAGCCGTTTTTCTCATACGGGTGCTGGGCTGCACTGGGAAAGCCCCACTCTCTTAGGCTGTGACACAGCTGCCACAGCAGGGAGACTGATGGCCTTCCAGGCAGCTGAGCCCATTTGCCATGAAGAGTGACTTCTCAGGGCTGAAGGATCCAGGATCGAACAGATGAAATGCAGGTTTGCATATGAGGTAGACTGTCTCGTGTTTCTCACCCCCGGAAAGTCAGACTCCCTCTTCCACGTGCTCTTGTCCATTTCTGCATGTCTCTGCTGCTTAGCCTTCTTCTTTTCCATGTAACTATTTTACCTTTTTATAAAATCGTGTAAGTTACACATATTGATTACAGGAACACTAGCAAATAAAAATAAGCGAAAAGGAAAAAAATCCATAGTGGCACCCACCAGAAACGTCAAGTTTAAATTTTGATAATGCATGCATATATAATACACAGATTACACATTTAAAAATGAGATCACAATACAGATGCTACCTTGTAACCTAATTTTTTTCCTCTGAAAAGCCTGTTATGACCATCTTTTCCTGTTAAGAAATATCAACCTGTACAAGTGGCATTTTTTTTTTTTTCAGGTAGTAAGATCCTTTCTTCAAATACAATTTTATCTTGAACCCAGTACAGAAAATATAGAAAGCTCAGGTAGCTTCGGTTGAAACTGAGACAGTCAGCAACTCCCAGATCTGTCCTGGAGCAGGCCAGCAAAATGAGCCCTCTGGGAGTCAGTGTGGGAAGCACAACTGGAAAAGTACTGATAAATAATATTTTTTTCCGAAGGTTATACCGTACTCCAATTGTATCAGTAGCCTATTATTATCTAAGTTGTTTTCCATTTTTTTGTTATAAATAATTTATATTCATCTATTTTTCCCAGTTCTAGTTATTCCTTAGGATAAACTCTTAGAAACAGAAGAATTATTAACTTTGGACAAATATTGTTACATTTCCCTCAAAAGTGCCTACTGTTTATGGCTGTCACCGTAACAATAAAAGTACCCATTTCCTTATATTCTCCTAATACTTAGATAATTCTTCCTTTTAATCTTGTTACGTGGTTGGTAAAAGTTTGTATCCAAATGTTCAATCTTGCAATTCTTTAATTAGTGGTCAGAAGAACATTTTTAAATATTTTCTTTTCATTTATTTTTTAGTTTTTATTTTTTATTTTTGACCAAGTCTCACTCTGTTGCCCAGGCTAGAGGGCTAGAGTGCAGTGGCGCGATCTCCACTCACTGCAACCTCCGCCTCCCAGGTTCAAGCAATTCTTGTGCCTCAGCCTCCTGAGTAACTGGGATTACAGGTGCGTGCCACCACGCCCGGCTAATTTTTTTATTTTTTAGTAGAGACGGGGTTTCACTATGTTGGCCAGGCTGGTCTCAAACTCCTGACCTCAAGTGATCCACCCGCCTCAGCCTCCCAAAGTGCTGGGATGACCAGCGTGGGCCACAGCACCTGGTCTCATTTATATTTCTTTGTTTCCTGATAGTCTGTTGATGCCCTTTGCCCGTTTACTCAATTAGAATGTTTTCATTTCTTTGCCAGACTTCTTTATAAAAAGGATATTTTTCTTTGCCTATTATATAAAAATATTTTCCATTTATAATTTTGCTTTTTAAGTTTGTTTATGAATATTTATTATGTATATAAATAATTTAAATTTTTATGTAGTAAAAAACTATATTTTCCTTGTTGTTTCTGCTTTTGATATGATTCCTGGAAAGGCCTTTCCTTCACTGAAATTATGAAGGTGTTACCCAAATATTCTTTTACTCTTTTTATGTTTAAAGTGTTAATTTTTTCAGTCCAACTAAAATGTACTTTGTTATTAGCTATGGCGGGTGGTGATCTAATATTTTTTAAAAAGGCCAGACAGCTATTTCAACATATAGTATAATGACTAATTCATTTTTTGCCGACTGATCTGAAATTTTGTATGATTTATATGTGTTATTCCGGTTCCAGTATTATATCGTTTTAATTATCAAAATTTTGTATTATGTTTTAATATAACACTGCATATTTCTCTTCATTATTTTGATATTTTTCTAATTAGTCTCATATTCATTTTTGGCGAAGAGCTTTAAAATTGTCAACTTTTCTGGAGTTGCTGGCTAAGAAAAATACTGCTTCAGTAAATAGCAGTAAAAA